CCCAAACATTCATGACGATGTTCCTGAGCCAGAACCACCTGAGCAAATATCATACGTGTTTCAATATTATTCCAGACATGTCTTTATACATACCCACTGAAAATATACTACCCGATTTTTTTTACTATCCGAATCAAAAAACTATTTGTGTACATACTTCGCTATATTTTTCATTTTAATGGTTTATTTGAAAATTTTCATGATTTTATTTAATAATTGGATGCTGAGTATAATGACAAATGCTTTTCATGAAAATCTACTAATATAATTTCGTCCATCGCTAGTATATAGCACTGGTTATTTTGTCAAACTTAAGAAATTAGTATTTTTAAAATCAATCTATAAATCATCTACAATCTAAAACCTTAAAATCACGTATGGAATTTGATCGTCAAGATAGATGTTTTTAAGTTCATAGTTCATTGAAATTAAATTTTGAAATAGATGATGTTGTTTAGAGTTACGTGACGTTAAAAACATTGACTTATTGAGAGGCTGTAATTTATTTAGCAATCAACAAAAATTGCATTCTATACTATAATTCTGCCAAACTCTTATTTTATTCATATAGGTTTATGATGCAAAAAGCAATACTAAATTGGGTACAAAAATCATGAAAAAACTTTCCTCTCAAGCTTTGTTCATTGTTAACATTAAGGTGTTAAGATGCAAAAATTACAATAAAACTTTGAGTATAATCTTATATCTAAATTACATATTGATAATTATATATTTTTACGTAAATGTAATTTCTCTCAAAGTGACCTTCGAGGTACTCAGTATTGAAATTTAAGAGTATTACAGATGGGAATATGACTATGCAAAAAAATAATTATAAATGATTATAAGTTCATAAATATTTAAGTATATATTTTTCAAAAGTTTATTTAATCACTTTAAAAAAACGATACCAATTTTTGCAAACTTTGACAAATTTTTAAAGTTAAACGAGTTGTGGTAGAGACGTAATATTTTAGTATGTTCCATAAGACTATGGTAATAAAAAATAATAATAAAGATTGTCGAAATTTTTTAACACTTGTTAGAAGAAAACGGACCGGCCGATTTCTACCAAAAACTAATAAGCACGATCCCCAACTAAAATCTTTCGAACGGTTTTTCAATTTTCAGAATCGATTAAATCTAAAACGTGGACGATTTTTTTTTACCTTTTTTTCTGCTATTTATAAAGAAATGGCTTGACTGATCGTCGCACAAATTTGGTCCTGCCGTTTTTGAAATAACGTTGATTTATGGCAAAAGTTTGTTTACACACACACACACATGCACACGCATACTTCTTTCCAAATTCGGTCTCATTCAATTCAGAATGACTTAAGCGTTTAGAAAACATAAAGTTAGCGAATCTGGAAGTTAAAAATCTAATATAGGCTGTGCAGAATTTACTGAGTCTGATAACTGGAAACGCAC